TTCTTTCATATAAAGTTTGCCTATTTAACATATATTGGTTCAACTGGTTCAGCAAGTTAGTCACTTTTTCAATCGCTTTCACAGCCAACACGGTTAAGGTGTTGGAGGCTGCAATTAAGGCAAACCCAAATGCTGCAATGAAGCAGCTAGGGGAGGACCGCAATGAAGGCAGAAATTCCAACATATCTAACAATTGTAAGATCAAGAAGGTTGGCAGAATTGTAGAGCTGAAGCAAATGATTAATAGGTTGTTGAAGAAGTATGAAAATTATGGAAAAGGGTGAAAGTGAAAACAAGGAGGCAAGGGCTTGCTCCTCCATAATCAAACGCATAGCACACAGAAAACATGGATGAAGTATTGAGTTTTGTAATGCCGGATCTCATTCTTGGGGAATGGTGTCAACATTTCCTAGTTTAATGGAAGTGACTCATTTGGTTGGATATGAGAAAAGCAATAAGTAAAACCATAACCAGCTTGGTCATTGGAGAAGAAACAGGAAAATCAAGAAATAAAACAACAACTTGATAAGGTAACAGAAACAAATGATGAACCAGGGACTGATGTTGGTCAAGGAAAAAAGTTGAAAGAGGAGATGCCAATATGGCTCAATGTTTATAGTTCACACTTCACAGCATTCATAGAGATGATTATGGAAGAAAAAAGTTTGCTACGGTGAAAAGGAAATCACCAGTCACAGTTGTGTCTTAGTAAACATAAGTCTCAAGAAGGAGATATATCTGTTTACTGTAGTGAAACATGGGTGGAAGTACCACTTGGTGGCAAAAAAAAACTAGGTTTTTAGTCCAGTTGGTCCACTGGCTTCGCTCCCAGATCAAAAAAATTGTACAGCCACTATGGAGATTTGATAGGAATGGGCCTGTTGGTAAGGAAGGGGACATATTGGTTAACAAAGCAAATTTTGGGCCAAAGGTGTGGCGTGTGTATGAGAACCGGATTAAGAAAGGAGCCTAAAGGAAAGTGTGTAGCTGATGTGGCAATTCTGTTAGGATATTTCCAATTCCCATAATAAGTAGCATAGTGGAGAATTAGTTAGGGAGGAGGGTTGTTATTTCCATTTCACCTCAATGGTTAGGCAGTGAGAAGCTTGTTTCTCAACTGTGGAGCTTTGCTCAGGCTTTGTATTACGTTTTCCTTATTCCATATATCAATAAATCATTTTCCATCTATTCCTTGATCTCTGCTTTATCAAGATTCAAGTTATTAAAAGTTCGGCTATGCTCCCACCGGCCACCACAACCAAATCTGACAGACGCCAGCCTACACGGACAGGTGTTTGCACCTAAGAGATCCATCCTCCTGGTGCAAAGAAGTGGGTTTTATAGAGGAGAAAGGGGAAGGGGCAGAATTGACATTCTGAACAGAGGGTTTGAATTTGAAGCTTGAGCAGGTCCAAATTGATTTTAGCAATGAAACTTGTTAAGGTAAGGTAAGGTAAAAGGAAGCTTCTACCAACCAAGCTCATATTTGGAAATTATGGGAAGGGCCAAACCCAAGCTGGCAGAATAATAGTCTCTTACTGTTCTTGGAGCAATGTATATCAGAATGGACAGACAAGATTGAGCATAGCTTCCTAGATTTCCAGTTTCCGAATTTCAACTTCAAAGACAAGGTTGAATTTCAAGAGGTGTTATTGTTTGGACAACAAATTGGAAAATAAGTTAAAGAAAATTAGAGTAGTTAGCTAACGGGTTTGATAAATAAATGGATGGTGCAAGGGTAGAGGTATTAGTGTCATTCAGATTTGGTCGCATTGAGAGAACTGGGCAAGGGCTCTGCTGGGAGAGGAAACCCGGGAGAACTTTTCTGTATATTTTAAATCATCCAAAATAATTGTTTCTTATCTTTGTTTATACCAATTTTCCATTCTCTTTTCTAGATTCCTAACATAACCATACTGTTTGTTTCTGCATTACTGTTAAAAAATGGGGTAGACAATGTTTTACTTTCAATCCCTTCCATTTTATTATATCCCTTTCATTTCCGTTTCACTCCCTAAAACTTCCAAATATAACCTAATATAAGAACAACTAACAATGATATAAAATGCAATACGAAAGATACCTTTCAAATAGACGTCCTCTTTCGGGTAAATAATGACCAAGCACTGTGCCAGGCACCAGCGGCCCACTTTGGGTTTTACCAGCTTTAACTGCCTGAGTTTTGATTTTGCTTGTTCCCACGTCCTTTTCTGAAGTAGACTCTGTTGCCTCAGCAACCAATCCATTTATTTTATCATTGTGTGGTACGTCGTTACCACCCACTTGTAACGTGGACTCGTCTTGTTGTGAGTTATCTGAATTTCTCTTGTCCACGCTGGATTGAGAATCACTTGCATCCTGTCATTACAATTAACAAAGATTTTCATAGATTATTTTTACGGTAAGAAATCACTGGACATGATTGGAGATAAGACACTGGTTGTATTATTGTGATAAAGAAAGTTAGTTCAACCAACCCTGTTAGAGCTGAAGAACTTGTTTTCATCTTCTTCTGTTATCTCTGCAATATCATCTTCATCCTGCACCTAGTAAAATCATAAGATATTAGTTATGACCAAACAAAGAGAAAAAACAGCCACGTAAAATCTGAAAACATGGCAATTCATACCAATGAAGCTTGAGCTTTCAAATCTTCAACATCGAAGTTCCATGCACTAACTCCTCGCTTATATTCACTCTAGAAAGGGAAATATATAAATGGATTAGACTTCAATGGTTACAAAAGCAATGATGTTGTATTCTCTTTTCTCCAAGAAAAACATACACTTCAATCTATATTTTCCAAAGCTTTAAAATGTCAAACTTTCAAAAGATGGGGTATCTCTTTATCACACTTGAAAACCAAAAGCATTATTAGAATTGAGTCCAGAAATTGCTAGCTCTTTCTTTTTAGATCAAATTGACAACTAATTCTAGAAAAACCAATCAAAGGTCCCATTTCAAGTGCATAATGTACTGTATCTAACAACCAGTCTTGAATAAGCTCTGCAATCAAATTTTCAAGTAGTGAAAGAAACCAGTATCAAGAGAAAGAAAATTAAAATGACAAACTTAGCTTGTAACCAACCCATACATGAAAATGCTTCGGAAAAAAAAAATACTACATTTAATGACAAAAAAATTGAATATCAGCTCTACCTGAGATATTGCTTCTTGTTCTGCAGAAGGCATTCTCTTCAGTGCTAGTTGAGCTGCATCTTTAAGCTGCAACATTATAGCGAAGTCAAGCGAACGTAACAGAACCAGAGAAATTACAGAACAGTCACTGAAGCATGTATGAAATCAAACCTGGAGGGCTTTAACACGAGTCCAAAGTGGTGGTAAATCAGCGAATAATTTCTTCACAGAAAGCTCCGGAGGCTTGGCTTGTTTGAAGAAGGAGTGTTTCAGTAACTTGTCCACGGACGGCCTCTTTGTTTGATCTTTTACCAGGCACATAGCAACCATTTCCTTAAAAGACTGATCACAACTGGAAATACTTTAATTAGACTGTCACTATTAAAGTATTCCATTTTTTTAGGAATACTATTAATCTACTATGATTATTAATTCAACACATTGTAATCTCAATATACAAACTATATCCGACGTATTAAATTGCAGTCACAATAGAGATTGTATCCTTAAGCTTGATATTGCAGATAATCACAATAAAAAATGACTGATGTGTCCCTAATCATTGGTTGTAGTAGAGATTACATCGTTATCCTTAATATGGCAGATAATCAGTGTTGTCCATGGCGGAGAGCCAAAATCCCGCCATACCAGACACTTTGTGGCGCTGTATAGCATATTATAGCAGAAAACCCCGCAATATCAGCTGATATTTACCATTGCAGAAAGCACAAAAAACTACCATGAATATCCGCCATAGCGCCGCAATTGCCAATATTTGATAACACTTTCAGATAATCACAATCAAATAAGACAGATGTAGACCGAATCGCGGTTGCGGAATGTTTTACTAAACTTTGCCTATATCCAAACCCCTCTTTACTCTCATTACTTATTAGCCATAATTAATGAACAAAGTAAAACTACAAATGCACACACAAATGACAAAGGAGTGTTTCAGCTTTTAAAAGGAGTGTTTCAGCTTTTAAAAAAAGTGTTTCAGTAACTTGTTCATGGACGGACTCTTTGTTTGATCTTTTACCAGGCACATTGCAAGCATTTCTTAAAAGACTGATCACAGCAAGAAACACTTTAGTTATACTGCTACTATTGAAGTACTAATACAATCAATCAAATGTAATTTATTAATTAAACACATTTTAATTTCAATAAAGAAACAACATCCAACATTTTAAATCGCATTCGTAGTAGAGATTGCATTGTTATCCTTGATACTATAGATAATCGCAATCAAGTACGACTGACGTTTCCCCAAACACGATCGGAGTAGGGATTGTGTCGTTATCCTTAATATTGCAGATAATCACAAATCAAGTATGACTGATATGTCCCAACCATAATCGGAGTAAAGATTGTGTCGTTATCCTTAATATTGCAGATAATCACGAATCAAATATGACTGATATGTCCCCAATTGCAGTCGCAGTAGAGAATGCATTGTTATCCTTAATATTGCAGATAATCGCAATCAAATATGAATGATGCAGCCGCAGTATCACTAGAGATTGCATTGTTATCTTTATATTGCAGATAATCACAATCAAATATGACTGATGCAGCCCCAGCCGCAGTTGCAGTAGAGATTGCGTTGTTATGCTTGATATTGCATATAATCGCAACCAAATATGAATGATGCAGTCCCAGCCCCGCAGTTGCAGTAGATTGTGCCGCTATGCTTGATATTGCAGATAACCGCAATCAAATATGGCTGATGCAACCCCAACCGCAGTAGAGATTGTGTCATTAAGCTTGATATTGCAGATAATCACAATCAAATATGACTGATGCAGCCCCAGCCGCTGTCGCAGTACAGATTGTGTTGTTATGCTTGATATTGCATATAATCGCAATCAAATAATACTGATGCAGCCCCAGTCGCAGTACAGATTGCATCGTTATGCTTGATATTGCATATAATCGCAATCAAATATGACTGATGCAGTCCCAGCCGCAGTCGCGGTAGAGATTGTGCCGTTATGTTTGATATTGCAGATAATCGCAATCAATTATGACTGATGCAGCGCAATAGAGATTGCGTTATTATGCTTGATATTGCAGATAATCACAATCAAATATGACTGATGCAGCCCCAGCCGCAGTCGCAGTAGAGATTGCGTCGTTATGCTTGATATTGCATATAATCGCAATCAAATATGACTGATGCAGTCCCAGCCGCAGTCGCAGTAGAGATTGTGCTGTTAAGCTTGATATTGCAGATAATCGCAATCAATTATGACTGATGCAGCCCCAGCTGCAACAGAGATTGCGTCATTATGCCTGATATTGCAGATAATCACAATCAAATATGATTGATGCAGCCCCAGCCGCAGTAGAGATTGCGCCATTATGCTTGATATTGCAGATAATCGCAATCATATGCAGTCGCAGTAGAGATTGGGTCATTATGCTTGATAATGCAGATCATTGCAACCAGATATGACTAATGCATTTCCAATCGCAATCGCGGTAGAGATTGCGTCGTAATCCTTAATATTGCAGATAATCGCAATCAAATATGATTGATGCATCCTCGATCGCGGACGTGGAATGATTTTACAAAAACCTCGTCGATATCCAAATCCCTTTTTACTCTCATCACTTAAAGCCATAATTATTAAACATGCAAAATAAAACCGCAAATATACAAACACACATAACAAAGAAGTATCGTACGTAAATAACAATGACACGTGTAGGCAGAAAGAAAAGGCATACCTTCGAGAACTTTTTATCACGATCGTAATCAAGACCAGGAGGCGCATTCTGTATGGTCATGAGTAAAACCTAAACAGATAACACAAACAATTAATAGTAGCAAGTCACTACCTCCCTCACCTCACCAATAACATTATATATTCTTCAAATTACATGATAACAACAAGCACATTTAGCCCTTCACTTCACATAGATAGATAGATAGATACATACCTTCATTGGAGGATACTTAGAGAAAGGTGCATGACCATGAGCCAACTCCAGTGCAGTAATTCCAAAAGACCAAATATCAGCCTTGAAATTATAACCAGTACCAGGTTGCAGCACCTCCGGCGCCATCCTTCAAAACCAACCACAAAAACAATATTCAATCAAATCACACAATATGCATAATCAGCGAATAAATTCACGAATTCACTATCGCAATCACATAATAAGCATAATGAAGCAAAACCAGTACCAGCAAGGAGTACCAACGAAAGTATTTCTCGACCGCTGCCGATCACCAGTATCAAACATAGAAGCGGAAACACCGAAGTCAGAAAGTTTGACTTCACCATTAGTATCAAGCAAAATATTACCAGCCTTAACATCCCGATGAATGTGCCCATGCTGATGAAGATAATCCAACGCCTTAAGCGTCTCCTTAAGAATCGATCCAATAGCATCTTCTTCAAGTCCATCAGGATAAGCAGCTTTCATTAGATGCAAACAAGAACCCTGCGCCATGAACGGCATAATAACCCAAAGCTTATGATCAACAACAAACGAACAATACGATTTCACCACGTTTCGGTGATCAATTAAGCTCATGATCTGCGCTTCCTTTCGAATATCGTCGAAATTGGAGTTGCATCGATCTAGATCGAGAGATTTCACTGCTACTTCCTCGTTGTAAGGGATGTAAACTGCGTGATAAACCGTCGCGCTTGCACCGTAACCTACTTCCTCTAGAAGCTTGTAATCGCTGGGATTCGCAGAATAGCTTCTGCTTCCCGAACCCATTTGTGATGTGTTTGGCTGTGTTGACTGTAGTCAGCTTTTTAGAATCAGAAAAATGGATTTCGAAATCGATTTTTTTCTTCCAGCTTTTTTTAGTTTTAGAATCAGCGCAACAAACACTTTTGCTATAATGAGTACTATTCTTCTTCTCTTCCTTCGCAGTCTTCGCTCTTCAATCTATCTTCTACCCTATATTAAATAAATAAAATTTCATTGTAAGAAGATAATAAGCCGTGTTAATTGTTGCAATTTTTATTATTTTATTATTAGTTTTATTTGTTGTTATTATTTTAAGGGTATTATTGTGATTTTGATTGAATTTTTTATTGTTATGGATTTTAAAATTTTATGGGTCTTGCTTGGGCTTTGTCATCCTTTTTGGCAAAAACTATTTAGGTGTGAGTAAAAACTATTTAGATTCATCATGTAGTCTTGATTAAGGAGGGAGAATCTTTTGAGACTTTCATATGCAATTTTTTAGATCCTAAAGTTTAGTTGGTCACATATAATTTTTTAGTTAGATTCCAAAATTGTAGGTGACAACTTCAATTTATTAAAATAGGATGATTGATGATTTAAGATAATTATTATTTGGATTTGTATGTGTTTTGGTTTAGAACATAAATCAACCTTAAAAAAATTTTTGAAGGTGGTGGAGTTTTAACAAAGGTGGTAGATAGTTGTGTGTGTCTATGATTTTGAGTAATAGGGTGTAAATTATCTAAATTTAATTAATTAATTAATGATAATGTTATTTAAATATATATGGAGTGATGTAGGCGTTACAAGATACTGTTTGATATTGGTCAAATTTTAAAATAATACAAATAGTTTCTATAATAATGGTGGAATCAGCAAAAAAAAAATAGATATTATGTATAAGATTATATACACAATTTTCAAAGTTTATCGTGTGTGAATGCACACTCTCAACTATGACTAGATATGCTCTCAATGATAAATATTTTTTTATGGTTGTCGCAAGAGAAATACATGTATAAAAGGTATTTTAATGTTAAAGTATAATTTAGTAAATAAGAATAAGAGAGGTCTAAAAGAGAAAATTATACCTTTCTTATCAGAAGTGAGACAGTCTTATTCCCAAGTCTTGTGTCTTTGACCATATAGTTAGATAGTTATATATTCATTTCATCAACCAGACATCCAACTGCTAATGAATACTTTTCTAAGATTTGACAGAAAATATGTTGGTAAAGTTTGAAAAATATTGGAATGTGATTCATGAAATAATGGGGGTTACCGCTATTTTGGATCTAGATATAAAATTGATTTGCTTGAATATTATTATGGAGTCTTCTATGGGAATGATGATGACCATGTTAAGTCAATCAGACAGGTGTGTTACGACTTGCTTTATGATTATGAATTGAAAATGAGCAATGATTCTAGAAGTGTATATGAAACGTTAGATGTTAATGTTGGTAATGTTAACAATGATAGTTTGAAAGACAATGATTTGTATGTCATAAGAAAAAAAACTAGATCTTTATCTGTTAAAACGGAGTTGGATGTTTATTTGGATGAGGAAGTTTTACTAAGAAGTCCAGATTTTGATATTTTATTGTGGTGGAATTTGAATGGCATAAAGTATCTAATACTTCAAGCAATTGTAAATGATGTGTTTGCAATTCTTGTTTCTACTGTAGCTTTTTGAATTTGTATTTAGTACAAGTGGTCATATCGTAAACCCTCATCGAAGTCGACTTTATTGGACCATTTTAGAAGCTTTGATGTGTGTAGGAAGTTGGTTATGGAGTGCTGAGAATAGTGGTAAGACCTTTCTTGTTTTTATTTTTTATTTTCACTTGCCAAGACTACCCCATTCATTATATTTTACTACATTGATAGGTAATTTGAAATCTAACATGGGAATGAAATGATATTTTACTCGCTGAAATTAAGTCTGATGATGAAGGTACTATTCTTATTCATATCATTTATATTAAATTTATCAAGTTAAATTTTTATATTTTAACTTTTATTTTTCAATACAGGTGAGTTGTTGATCAATGGTGTTACTTCTATTTCCAACTCATGTCTCAAAGATGATGATTATTAGAAAATTTATTGTTCTTTTTTTTGTTATGATGATTTAGTATATTTTGTTCCATGTTGTTGGATTGATTCTTTTGTTGATGGTATTCTTTTACTCTTGTATTTGTAATTTTTTTTAAATTATTAGTTGTTACGAGTGATTCTACTTTGATATATTGAAAGTGTACACTCTTTTAGTGAATAACAACCAATCATATTTGTGTAACTTTAAAAAATATTATGATTAGAGTCAAATGTTTGTATCGACTTAAGGGTTATGATTGAAAAAATATTTATAATGGTGTTCAAAAATTAAATTCTACAATCATTTACTCAAATTAACGGTGACTTTTATAGTTTTAATGTGATTATTCACGTTGTCCAAATGATTTGTGAAAGAAAAATAAATACATTTTTATTAGAAAAAAATAATTTTTTACGGGTGGATGCAGAGGCGAGGAACTCCGATTAAAATATTTTTAATATCAAACAAAATCAAGATGTATTCTCTTTAACCCCTTATGTGTATTATTTTATTTTTTAATTCACATGGTTTTTTTTAAAATTAATTTCCTTTTTTTTTTCATTAATTTTATTTTTCAATTTTTTTAATAATGACGAATTATTTATTTATTTTATTTTTAATTTCTTTATTTAAAAGTAAACTGATTTTGAAATATATTGGACTCACGACCCGTTTAGTCTCAACCTATATTCAGTTTATTAACTCATATTATTGTGTGCTATATAAAGACTGTAGTTTTCTCTACAAAATTAGATGTGGGACTATATTGTGTTTCTATGTCTACAAAAGAGAAACAACATCGTTATATTTCTTATTGTACCTCTTGCGACTCCGATCATTTCAAACTGCATAAGATCGAACTTGTCGCTTTTATCATAGAAAATGAGCAACTCAACATCATCCAATTTGAAATAATACTTCATCAACCTCATCTCCCTATCAAAATTCAGCATGAGACATATTCCTAAGCACATATTTCATCAACTTTATCTCCTTATGAAGTCCCACACCAAGTCTATCATATTGAATGAAAGCTATTCTTTCATGCTAATTCACATCCTGTAGCATTAAATTAAACTTCAAAAAAAGATAATCTTCACAATGCGGTTTTGGTTTCAACCAAAAAAGTTGTTCCAACATAGAACATATATATTAGAGAAAAATGGTTTCAAGCCAAGTATGTAAGAGAAACTTGTCTTTTTGACTCATAATGGAGATTCATTTCATCTTTGTGCTTGATCCGAAGAAAGTCCAATTGAAGTAGTTACTGCTACGTTATTGTTGGCTGATTCATTCTCGATTGAAGGAGGAAGATGAGAAAGTCCAACTGAAGCAGCTACTGCTACGTTAGTGCTTCTATGTGTAATCAAATATAAGAGTTGGAAGATGAGAATCAAATATAATTGCTTTAGATAACTTTATTTAGATCCTGGTTGTAATGCTTTAAATTAATATATATTGTATTCATGAAACGGTTTAATTTTTTAAATTAGACACAAAATGAGAGGTATTTTAATATATCATATATTCATGAAGCAGTTTTGTGTGTTTAGTGATGATGATTTTGATCCTAAGACGGTTTCTTTCTCGAATCACCTAAAATTTTAAGGTGATAGGTGAGTGAATTCTCCTACTTATATATACTCTAGTCCCTTTCTCGAATCAGGCCTTGATAACATTTGTTGCGGGGAGTTTACATTAGAAACATTGATACAAAGTTGAGGACTAAACATCTTTGTGAGAGATATGTCACGTGTCCACCTAAAACTTTAAGGTGATAGGTGAGTGAGTTCTCATACTTGTATATGCTTAAGTCTCAACATTCTTATCTAATGTGAGACAATTTTCCCACTTACTCACACTTGCATTATTATTATTCACACTTGCATTATTATTCTAACATATATGTGTAGTTTAATATTTTTAAACAATATATTTTACGTAAATAGTAATATTTTCAAAACAAATAACAATAATAAAAAAATACATAATATTTATATTTTATAAATTTTAGAAAATATCACTATGTAATTATTATTAATATTTTATTTATTTAGAAATCAAAAGATCATATTTATTTGACAAAATATCTATTTTGATCTCTTAACTATACTTTTGAGTTCAGATTGGTCTTTAATTTTTTTTTTGTATCACTTTGTTCCTTTAACTTCTAAAACATTTCATTTTAATCTTTTTTGTCTAATTAGTGACGAATTTAGCGATCGACTTATAAGTTTTCCCGTCACTAATTAAATAAAAAGGACTAAAATGAACTATTTTAGAAGTTAAAAGACCAAAGTGACACGAAAAAAATTAAGAGACCATTCTAAACAAGAGTATACTTAAGGGACCAAAATAAATATTTTGTCTATTTGTTTTGAAAAAAAAAATATCAATTTTTTGAAAAGAGACAATTGTATTGACTCTAATTAATTTTTAGAATTAATTAGTTATATAAAATGAAAAATTAGTCAAAATATTTTCAATATTATTTTTTATTAATCATTAAATTCATAATACATATAAGAGTAGATCAATCTAAATTTCAATTATTCATTTAGAGTTTAATCTATAATTTAAAAGTTTAAGAATTTTTTTTTATTCAATGTCAAGTCCCAAAAAATTGTAAATCATATGTTCTCTAGATTTTTTTTAAATCACATTATATCTGACCACATTAAAAGTTATAATTACAAAAAAAAAATTATAATTTTAATATTAAAGAGAATAATTAAAAAACTGATTAAAGTCTCTCGCCCTAGCTTCCAACCTTTGCCTCTTCTATGTAACTTTGCAGCTTCTCACGTACCAAATTCTCCAAGACTTGTTTAATTAACCTAATTCCTTATAATTAGCTTAACCTTATAATTATTAATATTCTTATTGGGCCTCACTTTCACACCCCACATATTACTCCATACAA